TTTTTCTCTTCCATTCATCTCTGTTCGCAGTTATCTCGTTATTTACTCCCTTTCTTACCATATCATCTTTCACACAATCCATCCATCTCCTTTTCGGTCTTCCTCTACTCTTATAACCATCCACATTCATATGTAACACAGTTCTTAGGATATGATCTTCATTCCTACGCATTACATCTCCATACCACGATAGACGATTACTCTTTATGTATATGTATGTATATTTAAATTTAGTTAAATCCATTTCTTTTGTTAATAAAATTATTATGCAAAAGTATTTGGTATAACTAAGTTATTTATACATATAAATAAAATTGGAGTGTCTGTTTGTAATATTGAAATGACCGTTTTTTACTACATGCGTATGATATGGTAATATAAATACGGTACATACACCAAAATAACATTTATTATAATTTTTGTCTGTCTGTCTGTTTGTTATAAAATTATATTATTACAAGCTGTACCCACAGTTTCACTCGCATGAAATTTATAGCTTATATATTACACTGATGTAACATATAAGTTACATATATTACTCTACAGTTTCATCAAAATCCGTTCAATAGTTTTTGCGTGAAAGTAATCTCTCACGCAACTTTGAATATATAATGAAAAAATATCAAAATCTTACATGATATAGACTGACTGACTGACAAAAGAATCGTATATATGAAATATATAGAATACTAGCTGACATTTATTATTATATGTCCAATTTACATAATATCTTTTTTAATTATATCTTATTTGTTATTATGATGTATAAGCTATATTACTGCAAAGTTTCGTCAAAATCCATTCAGGAGTTTATGCGTGAAAGAATAACAAACATCTCATACTCACAAACTTTCGTATCATCATCATCATCATTACATAGTATAAAATAAAGTCGCTGTCGCTGTCTGTCCTTATGTATGCTTAATATTCAAAACTACGGAAAGAATATTGATGCGAATTTTTTTAATAGATTTAGTAGGAAAGTTTATATAATACATATACACTCGTGCGAGGCCGGGGCGAATATCTAATTTATAATATTAGTAATATATAAGTTCATTAACAGAAGATTGGACAGACATTAAGTGCGTAGCGGTTTCTATGTTGATTGTCGCATGCCTAATCCTTGTTTTTTAATGAAATATAAGTAAATTAATATTTATTTAAAAGAGCAACACACAAGTTTCTTGCTTATTCTTCTTGTGATGAATCTGCATTCCGAATAAGCGGTAGAATCAAAAAACTTGACTATTCAAAAGTGCTTATATTAAGTTTATTTGAATAAATATTATTTCTATTTCTATTTCTATCAGTTGACTTTCAAATACATAATTAATACAAGTACAAGTACCTACCTTGCACTAAACTCGTAACGTGCGGTTGCCTAATGCATGCAATCCGATATTCAACAGTACATTGTTACCTCAGGCACTGATATTCAATACAATTCACTAGCGAGTGAGATTTGAACCATATTGAAGACAAAGGCACACCTAGAGTGGGATCAGGTTGTAGATATCAAATATTATACAGCAGGTATTATTAGAGAATATATTGCAACTGTAATTCAATGAACATTTCTAGAAATAGATTTGATTTATATTAGACTAGCTTTTGCCCGCGGCTTCGCTCGCGTCAATATATCCTCTTAGGGGTGGAATTTATTAAATCCTTTCTTAGGGGATGCCTACGTCATAGTAGCTTTATGCATGCAAAGTCTCAGCCCGATCGGTTTAAAATTGACAAAGTTTCATACAAACTTTCATCCCCTATTTTATCCCCTTGGGGGTAGAATTAATCAAAATCCTTTCTTAGCGGATGCCTACGTCATAACATCTACCTGCATGCCAAATTTCAGCCCGATCCGTCCAGTGGTTTGGGCTGTGCGTTGATAGATCACTATGTCAGTCACCTTTGAGTTATATATGTATATATAGATTACTAGCTGACCCGGCAAACATTATCTTGCCATATAAATTAACGAGCTACTCGCCCGGCTTCGAACGGGTAAATCTTCTTCTTGAATCACTCTAACTACTAAAAAAATCCGCTACAAAATCTATTATGTAGTTGCAAAGATTTCAGCATACATAGGGACGGATAGACAGCGACAGCGACTTTGTTTTATACTAAGTAATGATATCGGTATTGAAAATAGGGGTTGGTGAAAATTTAGGGTTGTATGTATTTTTCAATCCTAAATAATAAAATGAAAATAAAATATTATGTCGAAAAAATAAAAAAATATATATTTAGCGGTGGATACCCCTTACCACTTAGGGGTATGAAAAATAGTAGCCAATTCTCAGACCTACTGAAGATGGATATAAATTTTCATAAAAATCGAATGAAGCCGTTTGGGAGGAGTATGGTAACTAACATTGTGACACAAGAATTATATATATAAGATTTGCAATTTAATGTTATTTGGACCCTTTGGATAATGTTAATTATTTTAACATAATAAATATCTGTGATAAATTAATAGAAATTTCTCCTGTCCTTTTAATTTAACACAATAACAGTTTACACAATTTTATAACATGCAAAGCCCGACTACAATTTCAGTTTCAGGAATTGTAGAACTGAAATTTGCACAGCTTAAATGCAGCCCCGTCAAAACAAACAGTGAAATGAGTGAAATGCGAGGTAACGCTTGATATTAAAATCCACCGAATAGACGTGAGTTCTGCTGAATCCGACACAACTCTGGAACGTCTATCGAAGTGTGGCGCCCCGAGGCGGGATGTATTCAGTCTGGCTGAATACAAAATGGCCGAACCACACTGTTGCACGTGATCTGTACTGTCTTGCTTATTTCAGCTGCTAGTTGGTTATTAACAGGCAGAAATAACCTTTATTCCAATAAACTCAATACAAGCACTTTTGAATAGTCATATTTTTTATTCTAACACTCATTCGGAACGCAGACTCATTACAGGAATGAGCAAGAAATTTTGTATGTTGCTTTGGAATAGATGTTTTTTTATATAAATAATTACAGTATAAGAAGTAAGAAGTATGGAATAATCAACATAGAAACCGCCACTCGCTCATTCTTAGTGCAATCATATAATACTGTCAGTGCTGTGAATAAGTTTTTTAACATTATTATTATTTACAAAATCTTCAATTTTATAATGTACTTTTTTTACAAAGGATGTGTTAAATAAGACATCTGAATCATTTTTCAGAAGGACGCTGGTATTTTGTTGTAAAACCTTACGCAATTGCAATGAAACAAATTAATAGTTTAATTAAATGGCATTTAGGTAAAATCAGTTATTATAGTAAGCTTTTATTAGTGTAATCACTAAATCTTTTGAAAGTGTCTATATATTTTTTATATTATTTAACTTTTTCATTCCTTTTCCGTTAACATAAATCAAAATTTCTTTCTGAATTTCATTATTCACGTATTTATGGACTTATTTTTATACATTGCGCCAAAACTGATCACATCATGGTTTAAATCAAAAATTTCTTGGACTAATATGTTGTTGCAAATTTTCTTCATACATAATTTTCTGCATTACTTTAACGATTTGCACCGGAAGCACTCAAAATGAATTGACTTGATGAAAATGATTGAATGAATAACTCGACGAGTGAGTGTTGTTCCTGTACAGATTTTCATTCAATGTTAGATATAGACCTATATAAGTAAATTCTGTATATAAACTGGCTTTTTTTACAAATTAAGAAATTCAATTGAATTTCTTTCAATTCATATCAATTGGATCTGTATACTGAACTGGACGTAGAGAAAAAATTTAAAAAAAAATTGTAGATCATAAGCGGCTAAAAAGTCCTACATGTCATAAATAGTCTACAACGGTCATAAATAGTTTTTGATTTGAACTGAATGTTTTTTGTCACATCTTTAATTACTGCTCTGTTCCTATTGATTGTGATGTTATACAACTTATAGTACTCGGATATGGTCTCCGAGACTGACCCTTCACTGTTAAGTTGTTATTAAAACATAACCAGCAGAATCGGAGATTACTCCGAACAGACAAACATATAAACTGTACCTCAATAATATTAGTAAAGGCATTTTGAATGCCTTACAAATGCTTACGTATATATGTTCAAAGGTATTATGACTCGTGTCCTGTACGCTGCAAATCAGATTAGCACCGTACTACAGACTGTATGGGGAGAGATCACTATTATGTCTCTACATGCACTCTGCATCCATTCAGCTAGGATTACTAGTTCATATATCAATAGTTGATAATACGGTATTCGGAGTATTTCTGCGTAATAATGCTGTTTAATGCCAATTAATACTGCCCATAGAATCGTGAGATGTTCTAATTAGTATATTCAGTCAGTCAGTATACACTGTATTATGCAATAAGCTGGTATCAGACCTCTGATACCAGCTTTACTGTCGCAAGTTCGATGCCTCGCACGGTACAAACATTTGTATTCATTTGTACGATTGCTTGTATCAGTCTGGGTGTTTTCTATGTATATTATGTATGTATTTACATGTATGCATCCATGTATTTATATCAGTTGTCTAATACCCATACACAAGCTCTGTTTTGCTTGGGACTTGATGGCGTTGTATGAACTGTCCTGAGATATTATTATTATCAGATAATAAGAAAATAAATCTAAAATATATATAACTTAATGACATTACATCTTTGTGATTTCTATGTATATAACTCTATTCTCTCAAATTTGAATTTATAATGAATCTGTATTGTTGTAAACATGTACAACATTTATTTGAAAAGAATACGAGCTGAGTTTCTTTTCAGTTCTTCTAATTTCAAAATCATTCCAAACTGACGGTAGATTTGACATATCATAAGAGACTGTAATAGACCTACATGAATAAAGATGTTTTGAATTTTGAATTGAATTATGTATATATATAAAAAAATATGTGTATTTATATCAGTTGTCTCGTGCCCATAACACAAGCTCTACTTATCTCAGGATTATTGAATTGATACAATAAATGTAAGCTAGGTACTTACGAGGTGTAATCTTCTCAGGCTCCAGGAAACTTTCTGATAATGGATCTGTCATGGCGCCGTTCAGATAGCGATGTTCAACATCAATGAAGTGGCCCATGGTGACCACGGTCACGGAGAAGTAGACCTGTGACAACAATAAATCAAGTTATAGTAAGAAGTATACAAATAATAATAATCTCAGGACAATTCGCACAGCGCCATCTAGACCCAAGTTAAGCTAGCTAAAGCTTGTGTTATGGGTACTAGACGACTGATACAAATACATAGATATTTTTGTACATACATACATATTATACATATAAGACACCCAGATCGATACAAACAATAATACTCGTGAATACAAATGTTTGTGCCGTGCGAGGAATCGAACCCGCGACCATCGGACGTAAAGCGGTGTGCTAGACTGCTAGACCACCGAGGTCGTCCGTATTTATTAATGGATAAGATAAAGAATGAATACATTAATTGGTGGGCCAGGTCCATGTGCTCCCTCTAATATGGTTGAGTGCAATGATGGCTGATTCATCCGTCATTCTCATGAACGGGTGCTGCTTGTGGGGACTGGTCTGTTCAGGTTGCGAACACTGATTAGATTTTTTTGTTTTTTTTTTGCAATAGAATATGCTGGTGGTTACTTTATTCTCCCAAATTTGAATTTAAATAAATCTGCATTATTGTAAAAATGTATAACATTTTATTTGAAAAGAATACAAGCTGAGTTTCTTGTCAGTTCTTCTCATCTCGAGATCATTCCGAACTGACGGTAGATTTAACATATCATACGAGTCTGTAATAGACCTATATGAATAAAGATATTTTGAATTGAATTTGAGGAAGTATGAAAGTGGCGCCGGTGTCAGAAAGGTTAAAGAGTAATCGTCTGTTGTATGAGTATGTAATGCGTAGGAATGAAGATCATATCCTAAGGAAGGTGTTATACATGAATGTGGATGGTTATAAGGGTAGAGGAAGATGGAAAAGAGATGGATGGACTGTGTGAAAGATGATATGGTAAAAAAGGGACTAAATAACGAGATGACTGCGAACAGAGATGAATGGAAGAGAAAAACATCACGTGCCGATCCCAAATAAATGGGATAAGGAAGAAGCAAATGATGACGATGATTAATTATTAATATTATTATCTGTGGTATGGATTCAATTAAACATGATTCTGGTATTTACGTTTATGGATTGGTATGTATGGATACGTTTCGTTTATGGATGCATCGCCGGCCGAGTACCATGTTAAGAGTGCGTTTCGTTATTTGAATCCAAGAATACATTTAAAATCACTCAAAGTACTGTGTGGAATAAAATTTTGTGTTATATCTACCTATTTGTAGAAGCCATATCTAATATACAAAATTCTCTAGGAATATAAACACGAAATGTTTATACGCCTTTGAAACGGCTTGATCAGATTTTAACGAAATTTTATATGTATATAGTAGGTCTGAGAATAGGTTCATAACCAATTTTTATACCCTTAAGTGTTAAGGGTGGGTCACATCAATTTTTTTTTATTTAATAGATAAAATATTTTTTTTTATTATGTAGCAGTAAAATTACATACAACACTAAATTTTCACACTTCTAGCATCAACCTCTTTTTTTATTAGCGATTTTAATTTATACAGCAAAACAATGTTTGCTGCTTACGCTACGCACTCATTCTTAGTGCAATCATATAATATTGTCAGCGCTATGATTTTAAGTTCTTCTCGATCTCAAAAACATTTCTTCAGTATTATATAATAATATGCTTTTAGAAAGTGTCTCTTTTTGGGAAGCGCCTCGTGATGTAGATACTTTAACTTACATAGATAGAGACTCACGCCCTATATTGAAATATCGATAAATTATTAAGACAATAATATATACATCACTAGCGACCCGTCCAAGCTTGTCACAGCTTACAAATCTTTGAATTTCTTGACTTTTTCTATACTTTATTGCATGTATTATACATATAAACCTTCCTCTAGTATCATTACATCTATTGAAAAAACCCGCTTCAAAATCCGTTGCGTAGTTCCAAAGTATTAAGCATACATAGGGACAGACATTCGTTTTATACTATGTAGTGAAACTATCGTTGCAATTTGCTAGTATTGGCCTTGGTTCTACTTTTAACCATAGTATAGAAAAGCTGAGTTAGAGTAACATATATGTATATATAACATATATATATATATGTGTACATATGTCAAATTCAAATTCAAATTCATAAATCATTTATTCATGTAGGACATTTCAGCGGCTTATGAACGTCAAATTTTTACATTTTTTTTCTCTACCGTCCAGTATGTCCGTCCGTCCGTCCGTATGTATATATATTACGTGTCATGTCGTAATACGAACGTTGCCTTGCTCATCTTTTCATTTTGTTTCAAATGAATATACATTTTATTTCATGTATATTAGCTTTCAAATTAATTGGTCATTCTAAAAGTTATAAAGATAAATCATTGTCATAAAGAAGTTTCGTTTATTTTTAGACGCCGAATAAGATAAGAATCGTTTCATTATTACACAGTATAAAATAAAGTCGCTGTCGATGTCTGTCCCTATGTATGCTTAAATATTTAAAACTACGCAACGGATTTTCAAACTTATTTTTTAATAGATAGAGTAACTCTAGAAGAAGGTTTATATATATAATACATGTACATCCGTGCGAAGCCGGTGCGAGTAACTGGTAATAATATTATGAAGCTGAAGAGTTTGTTTGTGCGAACGCGCTAATCTCAGGAACTTCTGGTTCGATTTGAAAAATTCTTTTTGTGTTATATAGGCCGTTTATCGAGGAAGGCTATAAGCTATATAACATAGCGCTACGACCAATAGACGCGAATCATAAGAAAGAAAGAAAGAAAGAAAGAAAGAAAGAAAGAAAGAAAGAAAGAAAGAAAGAAAGAAAGAAAGAAAGAAAGAAAGAAAGAAAGATAGAAAGAAAGAAAGAAAGAAAGAAAGAAAGAAAGAAAGAAAGAAAGAAAAATATTTTATTCAGTGCAATGTAAAAAATACAATATAAACAGTGAAAAATATTGCAAAAACGGGAAGTCTATTCATATTTGAGGGCTTCCGTTGCGTGTGCTGCGTAAACGGTTCAAGTTACCCAAAAAAGGCGAACGCAGCCGCGGACACAGCTAGTGTAAATATAAAATGATATTATGGGACACAGTCACCTAGATACATCAAAATAATAATTGCATTTAATAATGTCTAGTAAGACAAATTCAATATTGTCTACTAGGCACTGCTGTATCTAAACTGTGTCACCCCACCTTACATTTTCCTACTTTTATTTAGTATATAAGATCATTATTTCTATGTATACATTGTCAGTTTATTAAAATCTGTAAAACACATCGTCTCGACCAGCAACATCGTATTATTCACCCGCAACAGTGGTGACCCCGACGTGATCTGGCCGACGTGGTCGAGACGATACCTGGGAAAACGACGAGATCAAACAAGAGATCTCTGTCTGACGGCATCCTGCGCACCACCAACGATTGCACATTTCCACCGGCTTCCCAGAAGCGGGTCTCACCGGCTCGGAAATTCAAGAGGCATAAAAGTCGTTGGCAATACTGCACAACAAGGATCCTGCCGTGCTACTGACCCCCAGTAAACACAACTGCCTGCTGGATATAATCTCTGGACGAAAAATTGAAACTGGAAAAATAAAGCAAAAATGCTGTCTACAAAAGTACAGCCAACAGTCACCGCCGACGTCATTGCACACCTGTCGTCACTAATTGCGACACTGCGATCAGAAATTGCTGATATACGCTAAAAGCACTCGCCACACACAAACAGACGCAGCAACTGCCGATCTAGGTCAAATTCGCACCTACGGTCATTGCATAGTCAGAAAAATGACTATTATTTATATTATATCATCGCAAATATAAAGAAAAGGCATACAAATGGCATACAAAAACAAAACCGTCGGAAAACTAGATTCGACGCAGAACAAGACGGAACGCTGTGCTGTTCATCCGTCTAACCGCCTAGCTATAACCGACTTTAACAGTGGCTATAGAATTTTGGTGGACACCGGAGCAAAAATCTCGGTGAATAAAAAACAAGCACAGACCAAAAAGAGCGCTAGCGAAATCAAATTATTCGCCGCAAACAATTAATATGAGTAAATGCGAGTTCTTCACAAATGAGTTAGATTTTCTTGGTTATCATATAACGAGCCAAGGGATGAAACCAACGCAAGAAAAATGGCAAGCAATCGACGAGTACCCTAAACCCACGACAGTCGAAGATTTACGTCGTTATTTGGGTATAATGAATTTTTATTGTTACTAAAGTGGATAACGTCTTAAATTTTACAGTTAACTTTTATAATTTTTTTTTATGTGTAATATATATTTTTTTTTCTCTCAAGGGGGGAATATCTATGGGACACAGTCACCTAGATACATCAAAATAATAATTGCATTTAATAATGTCTAGTAAGACAAATTCAATATTGTCTACTAGGCACTGCTGTATCTAAACTGTGTCACCCCACCTTACATTTTCCTACTTTTATTTAGTATATAAGATCATTATTTCTATGTATACATTGTCAGTTTATTATCATCTGTAATATACATCGTCTCGACCAACAACATCTTATTATTTACCTGCAACAGATATAAATATTTTCATTCTTAATATTGTTAGCAGTGATTATTATATAGTTTATTACATGAACAGATTTTATTTAATTAATAATCACAGAACACATTGCGAAGAAATTTTCTCAATACAGAGCAGGAACAGATAATGTATTTTTATATACATCCGTTTCCGGCCTAAACCACATTGACACAGAGTATAAATCTAAATATATATAACTCAAAGGTGACTGATATAGTGATCTATCAACGCACAGCCCAAACTACTGCACAGATCGGGCTGAAATTTGGCGTGCAGGTAGATGTTATGACGTAGGCATACGCTAAGAAAGGATTTTGATTAATTCTACCCCCAAAGAGACAAAATAGGGGATGAAAGTTTGTATGAAACTTTGTCAATTTTAAACCGATCGGGCTGAGACTTTGCATGCATTAAGCTCATAGTAGCTTACGTAGGCATCCCCATAGAAAGGATTGTGATAAATTCCACCCTTAAGGGGATAAATTAACGCGAGCGAAACCGCGGGCAAAAGCTAGTATAATATATTTCTATAATAATCATAGTTTAAGATCATTTTGAATTGAATTAGAGGAAGTATGAATGTGGCGCCGGTGTCGGAGAGGTTAAGGAGTAATCGTCTGTCGTATGGGCATGGAATGCGTAGAAATGAAGATCTTATCTTAAGGAAGGTGTTACATATGAATGTGGATGGTTATAACTGTAGAGGAAGACCGAAAAAGAGATGGATGGACTGTGTGAAAGATGATATGGTAAGAATGGGAGTAAATAACGAGATGACTGCGAACAGAGATGAATGGAAGAGAAAAACATATTACGCCGACCACAAATAAATGGGATAAGGAAGAAGTAGATGATGATGATGATGAATAATATCATCTTTATATAATAATAATAGTTTAAGAAATTTCTATTATAGTTGTAATTGTTTGATGATTCTCATCCGCAATGACAAGTCTGTCACTCCATCAAAGGGAGATAAAATATATATATATAAAGAACAATAATAATAATCTCAGGACAATTCACACAGCGCCATCTAGATCCCAGTTAAGTAAACTAAAGGTTGTCTTATGAGTACTAGATAACTGATACAAATACATGTTTTTTTTTTCGTAAATATATACATATTATAATATAGAAAACACCCAGAGAGATAACAAAAATCATACTCATGAATATAAATATTTGTGCCGTGGAATCGAACCATCGGAAGTAAGGTGATGTGCTAAACCCCTGGACTACTGAGGTCATCACAATAGACAATGACAAATATAAGTGATACCATTATTTTCTTTTTTTTATTGGGTTATTTGGGCTATTGTCAGGTGCTTGGACCTGTAGCACTGCGACCTATATAGATCTATTGTGCTGGTTCTTTTTCAAAGTTCGCTACCTAGACCCGTCAGGGACAAGAATTGAAAGATATTCTTAGGAGCGATGGTTTTTATCTCCTCGGGAAAGAGTGTAAACTTTCCAAAGGAGATATTTGGTTTATGCACGAGTGGGCTAGGACATAGGATGTGTAGTGGCATTTCCTCAAAATCCTAAAAAAATCTATAGGCCTAGGTTTGCCATATGTTTGTTCAATTTGCAGTGTCCTGTGAGGGCCCTAGTCATCATGCATATGTTGTTTTTACTCAATAGCAGTAGTCTATTGGAGTATTTATTCGAGTAGCCCGATGTTAGGGCTTATGAATGTACCAATCTTGGCATTTTATGCCAGTGATTCAGTGCTTCGTTTGGTTATTAATTTAAGATGTCAATGTAATGACATAATGTTAAGAGTTGGTAGTGGTAGTTAATTAATAAGTAATATAATCTCTGTAACATGCCTTAGGCAGTATTTGTTATAATTATAGTAATCAGTGGTTAACGTAGTGGGTGACACATTTGTTAAAATTTATTAGTAAATAGCCATAAGTCATATATATAATGTGTAACTGTTTGTTGACCTAAATAAATTAAAAAAAAAAAAAAAAGATGTCCCAGTTTTAAGCAACGAGACACGCCACAGAAGGGTTCGGGGCCCAGTTGGGCGGTTTTTGCCCCTAACTTTGCCAGATGATAATTTCCATTACCTTCGATGTTTGAGTGCCCTGGGACCTAAGTATAATTTCTGCATCCTACTTCATTTAGTAGCAAGATACAATTTCTAATAAGTTTAGGTCGGATTTCGTACGAGTGAACTGCTAAAAGAGCAGCTTGACTCTCCGAATAAAATATAATAACATATTCTTCATTAATATTAATATATTAGCATAAGTATCATAGATTTTTCTTATGATTAATGACATGCAAACATACTGCTCACCTAATGGTATTCAGTAACTATTACTGGCAGCTTGTCTACCATTCTTTTTATTAACTTTATATTTTTTATATCTAATTTTTATATGTCACTTTTGACTAATATTGTTTTGTTACTTCTTGCTGTGAGCCCTTTTGGGCGATTAATTTTTTTTCCCCCTTTTGGGGGATTGAAATAGTAGTTGTGTTCCCGCTCCAGTAACAGTAACCGTCGCCTATATGTGTATATAGGCGACGGTTGCTGTTCATGTTACTGTTGTTTGTGTGAACAGCGCATTATTACGCGAAGACTTTGGTTTACCACTGCCTACCGTTTCAGAGGACTAAGATGTCACATATCTTATTCTATAATTTACTGCCTCATCTCATTCTTCAATCGAAATCTATCTTACAAAGCAAGCTGCTTGCAGCTTGAATCTAAGGATACTTCTTGACATTTTAAAATATTTTTCGAGCTATTCTAATACTGTTGGCTGCAGCTGGTCTTTACAGCTATACCGAACAGTAGAGGGCGAGTGCAAATGAAAGTCTAAACCCACTGAAGGAGTTATAGACCGGCTGAAGGCCAACTCCTGCCTGCAGATATGACTTTAATCACGAAATTTCGATGAAAGAAGAAAGAAAGAAAATATATTTATTCAGTGCTTTTCAACAATGTTACAATATAAAAAACAAGCAAACGAAAAAAAAATATTAAATAAAATGTACATATAATTAAACTTAATTTACCATGTAGATAATTAAACATAAACATAAAATAATAAATTTTTTCATATAGATAGGCACTGAAATGGCTGTTCTATGTCTTTCAAGTGAGCTGTATGCTTGCATATCTTTAGTTATATTAAATTAAATCTATGTAAATATATATAACAATTGGGATATTACCATTACAACTCTTACCATAGTATAAATAGCGGCTGCATAACATCCTTTACGAAGGCTCCTCCAACAGCAACACGATTGGATAATGGCCATTTTTTAGTCTGCGAACAAAAAGTTAATTTCATTAGTATGTTATATATATTACTAACATTATAAACGCGAAAGTATTTGAGTATAGATCCATAGATGGATTGATAAAAGTTTGTTATTCTTTCACGCAAAAACTACTTAACGAATTTTGATGAAACTTTACTGTAATATAGCTTATGTATCAGAGTAACTTATGAACTATAAATTTTATGCGAATATAAAATATGAAAGGAATAAGAGCAGGCTTTCTTGTCTGTTCTTCTTAACTGACGGTAGATTTGACTTATCAAGAGTCTGTAATAGACCTACATGTACAAAGATAATTTGATTTGATTTGATTTGATACAGGCATAAAAATATAACACAATCATAACGTTTCTCTCAATGTCCATAACGTTTTATATCGTTTTACATATTTGTTTATTTACTACACTCACAAAGAGAAAACAATTGTTAGTTAGGAACAGTGGCTGACAAATTGGCTAGTTTAACTCAATAACATTGGCTTTCGAGTGGCTTTTAACAGAATTCAGCGTTGCAACCGCTGAAAGATCGAACAATAGGTTAAATTACTAATATTGTGCAGATGCCGTAACTCTATGTGTACGTGATGTAGCTGGGCTCGGTCTGTTACAAATTACCTTTGCATAGAGACAAACTAGAAAAGCTGAACTTTAAAAATATATTCATATTCGTTTTCTTTTAAATGAAATTTATTTGATTAATGTCATTTGTTAATTCACCTGATTAATTGTCTTATTATATGTGAGCATGTAATTTTTTTATACGTTTATAATTTTATTAGACACTCTTTGCTTTTGACAAAATTACAATAAAATATTCTGGTAGTCCTACTACATTCTCCCAAATTTGAATTAAAAAATGAAAATAAAACTAAATTAAAAAATGAAAAATTTCAAAATTCTAGTAACCTTCTATGAACCAAGGAAGTTATGGACATGAAATTTCGGATACGGATAGGTTTCGGATATTGGAATGATTATTATACCGGATACGGATACGGATATGAAATTATTTCGAATTATCCATAATTTTCGGATAGGAATATTAATTTTTTAAGGAAATTCAAAAGTAAAATACAAATAGCCAATAAAATGGTTACATAACGTGTCTCAATTAGGCTGCACCTCTATCCGATAATTATCCGAAACCTTAATTTCCGATTTGGTTACGGTTACGAATATTTCTTAAATCGGAAATCCGATTACGGTTATGATTACTGAGCTCCCTAACATCACTGCTATGAACTTTCAAAACTTTTTATGCTTCAACCATTATCTTAATATTCATGAAGAAATATGTTTTTATTATCATAAAAAATATTTATATTGTACTAATCTCGAACCTATTACTATCGGCAGTTTAAACTATATAACTACACTGAGCAGTCTAATGGGTCGATATGCATGCTATTACTCTGTCCTGTATATACATATATGTATATATAATATATATATAACACAATCGATCTTCTGTCCCGTTCCAACAGGTATCGAAATTACGAACGTCTACTCTAAGTTTCGGTTTCTCTGAGACAAAATAAAACCAACCGTATTTGTCAGGCAGGTGTCGGTTTTTAGTCGTTTAATAAGTATTTTTTAAGAGTACTCTCGCTCCCATTTTCTATGAATAATAATAATAATAATATATCTTGTAGATATAGCCATCCCAAACACACACAATATACAAAGCACAGTCAATGAAAAACTAACAAAGTACACAGATCTAGCAATAGAATTAAAAAAACAATGGAAAGCACACACCATCCACATAGTACCCATAGTTTTGTCATCCACAGGAGTTATACCAAAAAGTCTGAACAAACACGTAGACACGTTGCATATCCCCTCCTCTACAATAGACCTATTACAAAAAGCCGTCATACTAAACACATGCCGAATAGTCTGAAAATTTCTATCTTCATCACATAACTCATCCATGCTTGGCTAAGGCCCGCGTGTTTGAATATATTACCCCCGTAAAAAGGGAGATATAATAAATATGTATATATATATATATATATGTAATAATAATAATAATAATAATAATAATAATAATAATAACGAGGTATCAACAGAATCGTCTCTTTATGAGTGATCAACGGAAGTTTTATAGAAACTTGGAGCGCCCAAAACTACAGCCCACAGGACAAAGACCCGAAACAGCCAATTTCGTCGCCTTCTGGCGACAGCTGTGGTCTGAACCTGTGGAACATGAGGAGGGCGCATGGATGCACGGTGTTGAGGAAGCATGTGCTCGAATAACACCGATGAACGTCATTGCCATTACGCAGGAGGACGTGGTTGCTGCGATCCGTCGGGCTCCGAACTGGAAAAGTCCGGGAATCGACGGATTGCAACACTACTGGTTAAAGGCGTTCTCGGCCAGCCATGCAACCTTAGCCGTGCAATTCCAGAGTGCCCTCGAAAACAGGGCGCTCCCGAACTTCCTTACAACCGGGATCACTCATTTAGCTCCTAAGACGGACGATACCGCGGATCCATCTAAATATCGCCCCATAACTTGTCTTACGACAATATATAAGACGTTAACATCTGTTCTGAGCGCTAAGATCTCTCGTCATGTGTACGAAAACAAGATCCTATCTAGCGCTCAGAACGGATGCAGGGGCGGTAGCCGCGGATCGAAGGAGCTTCTCCTCATTGATGCTGTCGCTGGCCAAGTGGTTAAGCGGAACCGTCGGAATTTCTCCGCTGCTTGGATAGACTATAAAAAGGCGTTCGATTCCGTGCCCCACTCATGGCTTCGGAGGATACTCGAGCTGTACAAGATCGACGGTACGGTTCGGGTGTTCCTGGAGACATGCATGGGGCAATGGACGACGATCCTGTCTATCCAGGGCGAGCGATTAACGGATACCGCTGACCGGATTGAGATTAAGAGGGGAATATTCCAGGGCGATTGTTTGAGTCCACTTTGGTTTTGCCTGTCCCTGAATCCTCTCAGTACTTTACTGGAGAATTCGGGGACTGGATTTCAGTATCGGAGAGGAGGTACACGAGTGTCTCACCTTCTGTACATGGATGACTTGAAACTACTAGCTCCGAGTGTCGAACGCCTGACGGAGCTATTAAATATTGTAAACGATTATAGCAGCTCTGTTAGGATGGCACTCGGAATAGACAAGTGCGCGGTTCTCCATGTGCAGAGGGGACGGGTCAATCAAACTGAAGGGATCGTTACAGATCCCTCCAACATCAAAACCCTCTCCGACGCTGAAACATACCGGTATCTGGGCATGTCACAAAACATCGGTGTGAGGGAGACGGATATGAAACAGTCAATCCGTGAGGAATTTTTTGCGCGCCTTACAAGAGTACTGAAAAGTTCCTTGTCGGGTGCCAATAAGATCCGAGCATATAACGGCTGGGTCATACCCGTACTCCTTTACACTTTTGGCGTGCTCAGATGGTCTCAAACCGAACTCGAAGCCCTGGATCGGAAAGTCCGCACAACTATGACCCTCCATAGAATGCATCACCCGAAATCGTCAGTCATGAGGCTGTACATCCCGCGGAAGGCTGGTGGTCGAGGCTTGTTAAGCGTTAAGACCATGCACAACCGCGAGATTGACAGCCTCAGGACATATTTTCTGGAGAAAAGAGACGAGGGTTTGCATAGAGAGGTCATAGAATGTGACAAAGGATTCTCCCCTCTTTCTCTGGCTAAAGAGGACTGGCGAAAACCCGAAGTCCTGGGTACCTCTCAGCGGGAGGCCGTGTGGAAAGAGAAGGAGTTGCACGGAAGGTTCTTCAAAGCCCTTCACGGGCCGTACGTCAACACGAAGACCTCCGTGCACTGGCTACAGTTCGGTGATCTCTTCGGAGAGACCGAGGGTTTTGTCTGTGCAATACAGGATCAGGTGGTTAAGACGAACAATTACCGAAAGCACATTCTGAAGGATGGCACTGAGGACATCTGTCGGGCATGTCGCCATCCCGGAGAGTCACTCAGACATGTGCTTTCGGGTTGTTCAGCTCTTGCCAACACTGAGTACTTGCACAGGCACAACCAGGTAGCCAAAATACTCCATCAAGAACTAGCTCTGAAGTACGGCCTCGCGAATGAGAGGTTGCCGTACTATAAGTACGAGCCCCAGCCGGTCCTCGAAAGCGGCAGCGTCAAGCTCTACTGGGACCGATCCATCATCACGGACAGGACTGTTCTTGCGAACAAACCTGATATCGTGGTGATGGATCGGGCACTTTCGAGGGTGTTTTTGGTGGACATCACCATACCGCATGACGAGAACCTCGTGAAAGCCGAAACTGAGAAAAAGAGAAAGTACCTCGACCTGGCTCACGAGGTGACCGAAATGTGGGGGGTGATGTCCACCGAAATCATTCCAATCGTTATGTCGGTGAACGGTCTTATCCCAACCAGTCTGGAACAACATCTCAGACGGTTGGGATTCCGGGGCGGTTCACTCCCGGGAAAGATGCAGAAAGCGGTGCTGTTAGATTCTGCCCGCATTGTACGCCGGTTTCTGTCCCTGGGGCCCTGAACCCCGGCCGACTGTGCTTCTGCCGGGGGTATGTTGCCATCTCCTCTCCTTAAGAGGGGAGATGAGAATTTTTGGGAAAAAAAAAAAAATAATAATAATAATAATAAACCTGTCGCATAACCAGAAAATTCTTATCCTCCTCAACAATATCTTCACCCAGCACAACCTCTCCCACACTTGGCTAAGGCCCGTGTAGGTGAGTATTACCTTCTTTTAAATCTATAAAAGAAGAGAAAAAAAGGAAAAAAAGGAAAATAATAATAATCGAGTATTCGAGAATAATAATTACAAAATGTATTTAGATAGAGCGATATTGTCAGTCAGATTAATAATACATTAAGGTTTTTGTATTTCAAATATTATGTAATATACAAGAGTGTAAGCAAGATTTAAAATTACTATCTTACGATATTATAGAATAGAATATTATATTCTAAAGAAGATCATTTATTCAAAT